CAGCATGAGCTTTCATAGACTTCAGTCTACGTAGGTCTACTTAAGTTGACCAAATGCATCTGAGGAAGTAGACTTAAATCTACGAAAACTCATGCTTCCAACTTCCTGCTTTCAATTAGTCTCAAAGGTACAACAAGATCTCTTTAAAAGTTCTTCTTAATGTTTAGGTGGAATCTCTTTTCCTGTCATTTGAGAAATCCTTGAGAGATGCCATTCTGCATGAAACCACACTGGAGACCTCATTCCGGTTCCCAAACACATACTAGGCTCCACTCTCTTGTCCTCACCTTTAAAACTGGCGACCCACCAAGTCAAATACAGCTCACTCCTAGCCATGTACAATACCCTCTAACTGTCCTGATTTAGCAGGGATGGTCCCAATGAACCCTCTGTGATCCCATTTTCCCAGGTACTTTTAAAATGTCGCCATTTCTCTCTCCTCCTCCCACTTGATGCCTTTGTCCTTTGCTTGCTTCTGTTGCGGCAAAGGCAGCTCCAAGTGCAAAAGTAGTTTGCATTCAATTAGCATAGCAAGGAGAACAGGAAAAGAAAGAATGTAATCTTGCCCTTCCCAGCAGGATCAGGCAAAAGTAAACTGCTGCATCCTCTCCTAGTTCCTGGTATATCCTTCCTTGTTCATAACTTTTACCATCTTGACCACACTCTAATGTTGCTTGGCCACATGCGTCCCAGTTTTCATCTGCACCAACTCAGGACAGTTGGAGGGCAAGCGATTCTCAAGTACCAACCAAAACAGGCCTCTGAACAAAGTAGTGATTCTTGTTTCCCTCTTGCCTTCCTCCCACCAAAGACTACCAATGGTGCCTACCCACATTTTCATGCTTAAAAGGAAGGAAAGATGTTTCCATCTTAAAAGAGAGTCTTCCGTTGGACCCATCTTTATTCTCCCCTATCCCTCTTGATTCTCAATGCAATCTGATGGGGATCACCTACGGTGAGAGCTAATACGTTGCCCAGAGTTATCTTGGACACTTTTGCAAGAATTTGGTCCTGGCTTTCGCCACACTAGAGAATCGAAGATTAAGCCCTGGAGTTACCAAGCAACCAGGAAAGAAAGAAAGGGGATGCCGGTGAAAAGAACATCCTGGCTTGTTATTTTCTTTGCTTCTTTCAGGCTAGCTATCAAAAGAAGAAGAAGAATATCTTTATTGAATAAGTCTCCAGACCATTTCAAATAAAATATTATATATATATATATATATATATATATATATATATATATATATACACACACACACACACACACACACACACACACACGATACATACTCACACACACACACAGAGTTAATATTTGAATCTGGTTACATCCCTCTTATAATTTGCACAACTGTCTATTTGAGACTCTTATCTACTTCTTGCTTCCATAAAATAGCTGCTTTCACTGCAAACAAGGCAACCCTAAGAGTTATGAAAGGCTCTACTCCATCAAAATAATAATAATAATAATAATAATAATAATAATAATAATAATAATAATAATAATAATAGCAAGGTCAAGGTCCATAGGCAGAAGGACAGGGGAGGTTGGGGGGTTGCAGACTGCCAGAAATAGTGCAAATTGAGTCTGCTTTTAGGGTTAGGGTTCGGGAATCATGGGAACTGTACTTTATTGTGGCACCAGAGCTCTCTGACAGAGAAGGCTCAATATCTCAGGGGGAAAAAACATTTCCCATGATTACCTAGCACTAACCCTAACCCTAAAAGTCGACTCAATTTGCACTATTTCTGGCAGTCTGCAACCCCCCGTTGTCTTCTTTTTAGCTAGAACATTGTAGGTACGCATTAATTTTTTAAGGTATCTATGTCTATCTATGGAATTATACATTGTTGTTGCTGTTGCTGGGTGCCTTCAAAGCTTTTCTGCCTTTTTGTTGTGGTGTTGTGCTCCTTCAAGTCATTTCCGAAGGTGACCCTATCCTAGGATTTTCTCGGTGAGTTTCTTCAGAGGGGTTTTTCCATTGCCATCCTCTTAAGGATGAGAGAATGTGACTTGTCCAAGGTAATCCAGTGGATTTACATGGCTGAGCTGGGAATCAAAGCCTGGTCTCCAGAATCATAGTCCAAGGAGATTATCTCACTTAGTTATAATGCAGCTTACCTGAGCCAGTTTAAAATTAGAAACGGGCGGCATCTGATAGTACACATTTAGCCGCTGAAATCGCCACCCGGCTACAGCCCAACTCCATCGCCCGTTCAGCCATGGAAGCCCACTGCGTGACCTTGGGCAAGTCACACACTCTCAGCCTCAGAAAATGCCATGATAGGATCTCCTTATGGTGACCTTAGGGTCAACATAAGTCAAAA